AGAGAGAGAGAGAGAGAGGAGAGAGATCCAAGAAGAATAGCTTCAATAAAACCACAAATGCTACAAATCTAGAGCCATTAGACCCCAATTGAAGCTATTAACACTTTTCCTTTAGAAAAGGCTAGCATTCTTCAAAGGCATTCAAGTATTCAGGCATAGAAGGGCCAAGCTCTCTAAATCCATAAAAAATTCTAGCAAGGACCATTGACAATAACCCAGAACCCGTAGATCTAGCATGAGACTGTTCCCACACTACACTCGATTCGAGAAGAAAACCATGGTGTTTTCAGAGATTGTGACACAGAGTAGGAGAAATCCAAATATAACAAACTTCTAGCAAGATAACCATGGCCTTTTGGATCCAAGAACTTTAGATCTCACCTAAACTATCTCGCAGTTCTTGAGAATAGAATTTGGATTTTTGATGATGAGTTCAGATACAAAGGAGAAGAGAAAGAAAGGAAACTTACATGAGAGGAGTTGCTGATCAATTCTCGAAGGAAAATCTCCTTGTTACTGTAAATGGTGTTGATGATGAGAAGCAACTCGATGGATACTCAGCTCTGGTTGAGATGTTATTGAGAGAAATATTGCTCAATGTTTGATATGCTGAACAGTGTCTGCTCTGTGTTGAAGCTGGAAAGCATCCATGTGCATGCAATCACAATAAAGCTAGCTAACATATGCACACTTGTACATGTCTTATGCATTTGAGTTTTTTGTTTACCACGTCATAGGAGCTTCAGTCCCTAAACCACAACTACAATAAACAGCAGCAGCCTCAAATTCAGATGTCTTTAATAACCAATCTATGAGAGAAATAGATGAATATATGAGTAATCACAATAAACAGTAGCAGTCAATTCAATATCTGAGTAGTAGAGCAGTTTTTGTAACGGAGCTTCCAGAAGGAAACAGTGTACTCTCATTGAGAAGCAACAGCATTGCATATTTGGGGAGCCGGGGGGGAGGAGGAAAGGAGAGAGAGAGTGTCACAGACATAAGCCCATGCTTGTCACATACAACAGAATCTACTTATTTAATTCCAAGCTGTTAGTTACATCCCCCTATGGAACTTATATATATATACAGTCATTGCAGAATCTGCATCTGACTAGTATTGTATTTTAGTTGCACAAAAGTGTGGATAGATGATGCAAAGCGTAGAGGATCCGTGCTGCATGCCTTCAAAGTGAGTATACAAATAGTAGGGTAGAATAAAAGAGATTAGAGCGCCATCTCTGCTTGAAGGGAAGCTAATTCATCAGCCTCCTCATTACTGGTTGACTGAAGCGGCGCTGCTCTCTGAGGAAGGTTGGCAGCAGGCCTCTGCACTGCAGGGACACTGCCAGTTGGCTGCAATAATTCTTCCTCTAGCTCCGCTCCTTCTAGTTCCTCGAGCTCAGCTTCTAGCTCATCCTGTTAAAAGCAGCAAATCCCACTTAAAATGCTAAGTTGTCAAATTTGTAATGCTCCCAACAAGAACATACTGATTTAGGAAAGCATACTATAACGTGGCTTTCCTATAGTTGCATTGGATAAAAGTATACTTTCCCAATAGAGTAATGTGGTAGTATCAATTTGGATAAAAATTCTGGAATAAAAAATCAGGTGTCCACTAAAACCGTCTCATCTACCCAACCTACTATCATCCCTCAACGAAGTCTGTCTTCACTCTCTGTTCTATATCATGATATAAACCAGGTGCCGCCATATTGATTTGCAAGGAAGATATGAATGTGATTGAAAATTAGAGAAGCCGAGGGAAAAATATGAGGATGAGCCTTGACTATAAAGAGTTTTTAAATTACATGAATTTGAACAAATAGTATTCAAGCCTTGTTTACCCCCAAAAGAATAATGATAATGAGACCCCATAAGGCACAATAGATCTTGGAGACATTGTGTGATTATGAAACACATTTTCAGTTTATATGGCATACAAGGTGAGAGAATTTAGTGGCCGAAGCTTCAAAGAACCGAGAGACTGCAGGAGGTGGAAATATTAGTGGCAATAAATTATCAAAAAAAAGAAAAAGTAAAAATTGGAGTGGTGATAGTGGTATAGTTGGGATGAAAGACGGTTCATCTGAAGTAACAACTTCTGATTAATTATAAATGAACTTTACAAGAGAGGAACAGATAAATACCTCATCTATATCAGCAGCAGCACCAATAGGAGCTGCAAGTGCCTCTTGAATCTGCTTCATATTCTCTGTGTGCTCATTTACTTCTTCCATGGTCTTATCAATGTCATCAACATTCCTGTATCAACTCCATGAAAGCATTACATATGGAGCTCTAACATGCGCCAATACAATCAATATGACAAGATTCATATTCAGACAATAAGAAGTGGTCCTTGTTGTATTAAAATAAAATTATATGTATTTTTAAAGAAACGGAAGGACCATGGTAGTGCAAATATCCTACCTGTGCATTGTATATATTTTGGCAAAGAAGATGGTATACTCTAGCACTCTATCATATCTATCAACTATTTAACTTTGAAAGCCCAGTACCAAAAACTATGCTTCCGCTAGAAGAAGTGAGAAGGTCATTGTTTTGGAGGAAAAATAGGGCCCTAGGACATACTCAGAGATAAGCTCTCCCACAATAATGCAAAATCAGGCACAGTATTATTTACCACTAACTTGGAAACACAGGAAGCCAAGGGCAGAGGAAAATGATCATCTACAAAGGGAAAGTACAATATAATCCAAAGGATTCTAGGAATGTGTAGTCCATTTGCTCATCATTGTCCAGTGAAATGATGGATGTGATGGGAGAAGAGAGTGGGACCCACAAGAATAGAACATGATCCCAATGGGGGTTTCCACTCTCTCCATTATCTTCCACCAATTCATTGGACAGTGATGACACCACTAGACAATGGACAGGCCTACTATGATCAGCTTTATTACAGTATATTTTCGCATTTCCTAAATGTTCCAAAAGGTTCAAGGTTTGAAGCATCATGAGCAAAGGTGCATAATACTTATGACCACAGAATACATGCCTACAGGCAGAATTATGGAATAAAGCAACCATCCAAATATATCTTGTTACTAGATTATCGATCAGTAACAAAATACAAAGATTTCCACGGAAACAGAATCAAAATCGCGTTATAGGCAACAATTTCACACAGAAAAGATCAATTGCAATGAATATTAGATATTATGTGGAGTTGCACTCAGTAATGGTGAACTTAAGCTCCACAAAATTTTCAATCATGAACTTATTTCGAACATATTGTCATGGGAGTCAAATCAAAAGAATAAAAAAGTTTCCAATGGGGTATTAGCTCACTGACATGGAATGTTGAATGGCTTTCATGGCTGCTGCCCCTGTCCTCAGAGCATAAACAGTGTCTGTTGTTGCCTTGGCACCCTCGAGTGTAATCATCTATGCAATTCAAGAGGTATAATACAGGAAGTCAATGCCAAAAATCCAGAACGAGTGGATTTTCTTAAGGAAATGCCCATGCATATGCACATTTTCCCAAGGAAGATGCCCAAAAGTAGGATTTTTTAAAGGAAAATATCCATAAGTAGGTGATTTCTTTAAAAAATATGCCCATAGACCATATCTAGGTAAATATCCCAATGAAAAAATACCTTAGAAAACCATTTCTTAACAAAGCTCACTATATTATTGACACCTGATCATGTATTCGTAATTGGAAATTTCCTAGCTGCTCTATTTGTGCTTCATATAGCTTTTTTCGCTTCAAGCATTGAATTGCAGCTGCAAGGAAGCAGAGTTATGTGAAATTTTATTTGGTGCATCTTAAGAACTTTCATAATATCACAAAAAGAAATGGCGAAGGACATGATAATGTGTGACTTGAATAAGAAATGGACACCTGATTGTATCACACAATCGTCATCAAGCATTTATAAATAATTTTCCATATTACTAGCCAAACTTCAAACAAGAAACAAAATGGGAAGAGGATGTAACTACTGAATTTGACCGAGTATTATTTTGTTTTAATTTATTGTGAAGAAGGCCACCTGAAGAAAAAGAATAAGCCTAGACGACATGCATTAGAACCATAATCTGATCAACATAAAAAAAATGCATTATCTAGAATGAGGCTTTCTTCAATATGATGATAACGTAGTCTGCGATAACCTCTCAATATTCCCCTAGACTAAAATGAGAAAGTTGTTTACCTCGCTTATTCTTCATTCTTGTGAAATCCTTTGCTTTTTGAATTTCTGAGGACATTTTTCTTTGAAGAACATTTTCCTTTTTCTCTAGCATTTCCAATGTCTACAAAGCATAATCAGTGAAAACTAATCATTCTCCATGGGAAGCAAAGAAAGCACCATGTTGATAATTGATACATATAAAGGAAGTTAGATTATTTAATTGCATTGCATGAAAAAAAAATTTCTGCAACTAACAGAAGCAAAAACTTTGGAATTCAATAAAGCATAAGACATGTGGAACTTGTGCATTTGTATAGGATATAGACTCCATCAAGCTTCCATTTCTACGTCTACATATTGAGAGAATTCATCATATAGGTTTCTTGATGGTATATAATAAATAATAAATTCCATTAGGTTCAGACTCGTTGTGCCGTATAGCCACTCAAACTTTTCGAAAACCACTAAAATTTTGAAAGTCAATTATGAACCCTCTTATTACAAAATTACAAGAACCCTAGCAGTGGACCCAGATAAGCACCCCTAGCTACTGCATTCATATCCCACGCTCCAACCCAGCAAACAACACATATCAATGAATTGTGCATAATTCAACAATAAAAATTAATTCTTTTTCCTTTTTATGGATCGAAGCAAGTTACTGGCTTTCATTTGGATGACGTAGCAGTAACTAGTAAATTGCAGGAGCAGTAAAAAGAGATTGTTCACGCAAAATATTGAGATATATATATATATATATATAAGAATGAGTGAATGAATTGTTAGAGCAATAAGTACCTCATTGAGCTTGTCTATGGTGGAAAGCGGAGAAAGCGTTTCCTTGGATTTCTTGAATAATTTCTCGAACATTTTTGCAGTCGATGATTGATTAATGGAAAAGGAAAAACACAAACCAACTGTAAAACCAGACAAATGAAAGAGGAGCAAGCAATTCACTGAGATTCAGCCGATCTCTGCAATTAAACGGAATTGAGGGAGAATGCGCGATCGATGGGAGTATTTTTCCCCAAGGGAAAGTGAGAAAGAAAAATCGACACGTGTCACCTAAAATGGATGTTTTTTCCTTCATCGGATGGTTGGATTTGATCCGTTGCAGAGGGAGAGGAATGGTAGGTACGGCGGTGGCTTGCATTTATCTGCAGTATGTTACGCCTGCAAACAACCGTCCCTTGTCTGAAGTGGACAGTCTAAGGTACATTTCATTGTGTATTGGCAATTTATCGAAACTATCTTCCCTTTGGTGTGGGAGGGTGTCGTTACTAACTCCAAATTTTTTCGATTTATGAATTTGGAACCATGAACAAGCAGAAATATTTTGATAACTTACCTTCACTTAAATTAGTTGAATGCATGTGATTTATACTTATATTAAGTGCAATAAGCATCAAAGATATCTATCATATAAACGAACATGTTCATGAACTTAAAAAATGAAAAAAAAAAAAAAAAAAAAAGAACTTAGATTTTTAAAATATATATATGTTTTACCATTCATTTTGGTTCGTAAACGATCAAGAAATATACATAATTTTTGGAGCTTCAAATTTATGGATACGAGGAAGAAATAGTTTTCTAGGATCTAGATTATGCTTCAGTCATGATTGAAATATGTCACAAGATTGAAACTCAAAATCTATGTTTTTTTTTGTTTAAGAGTTATATTTAAGGGTTAAGAAACTCAATATATATTATTTTTTTCTTTTCTTATGGAAATTTATGATTCTTTTTCTCGCAAAATACTATTCATCTAGACATCAAATGTATGAAGTTTTCTATTATCAAGTCCCACTTTTTGTGATTCTTTATTTCCAAGTTACCTTTAAGTCTTGAGTCTCTTGACATTCAACGTGTGAAGCACGGCCTCTCTCTTGTATTTATTTTTTTGTTTGTTTGTTTAAGGGAAAAACCTATTCGGGACATGATACTGTTCCGATATTCAATGTCCAAACTCGCTCGCTTTCCAAAAGAATAAGAATGCATGGATGTTCTAATCCTTAAAAACGGCAACTATCATGTACCTCCATGGAGCACAATGTACAATTACTTTGAAAGTAAAACCTCTCGCCCGAGTCGGACTCGCCTGAGTTGGACTCGGGCTCAAGACCCTAACAAATGCCATTCTCAGCCCTTCCAACTTGGGCTCGAGATCCTAGCAAATCCCATTATGAGCCCGAGTTGGACTCAGGCTCGGGCTCAAGACCCTAGCAAATGCTATTCTCAGCCCTTCTAACTCGGGCTCAAGATCCTAGCAAATCCCATTCTATCTTGAGAATAGGCATATGTATTAAATGCATCAAAATGGGCCTACATTGTACTACTTTGGACCTCACCAACCGAAAGAGCAAACATTAGGACCTGTTTGAATCCTGGGTTTTTTAACTCCCGGTTTCCTCAAAGTGGGTGTTTGGCATCTTGTTTCCACTTAAATACCAGACTTAAAAAAACTCAAAATAGGCCCTCTTTTTCGAGTTTAATGAGGTCCATTCAAGAGTAGGTTTTTCCAAAACCTGGGTTCTTGATAAGAACCTGAGCCAAGTTTTCTTTTCTCTACCTGGAGCTAGACGACCCCTAACCCTAAGTAGGGACAGAACACCAAATCCAAGTTTAAATCCTAGCTGTGCCCCAATAAATAAATATATACAATTGGCTAAATACTATGCCTTTCCTCTTCGTACATAATGTTGATATGTGGCTTTGTGACATGGACATGCGTGCCTACAATATTTTACGGATATCGGATACGAAGGAGGAAACAATCGGTTTAGTTTTTTAGAAATTTAAAAACCTAATCTTAATAATTCTTCTTAAAATCTCACTATAAATACTTAATGTCACCTAAAATCTTATCTCTTCATTTACACAGACATGATGTGTGGCCAATACCTTAGATGTTGAAATGTATATCATTGTCTATAAAATTAATGTCTAAAGACCCACAAACACACAGAGTGAATAGGAATAATGGTACGTGCCAACTGTGGTTGTTAGTACGCGATATTGTCGTCAGCAATAACACACTCTATCTGTTTGATCTCATTCGTGAAAGCTAATGGTTATACATTCCCATTAATTATTCTTTATCTTAGATTTTGGAGGGGGGTTGGATCTGTTCACAGCCTATGAGGATGGATAATGTTTGTTTACATGGGTGATGAAATATGGATAGATTTGAGGACGTAAATGACTCCTACCCAAACCTACTCTTGGAATGTTGTGTATGTTTTTATTAGGAATCCAAAGCAGTGCAAATATTCAAAAAAAATTAACGAATATAAAGTTGTTCCATGTGTTTTGAAGACTCATATGCATGTGAGCCACCTTACTTTGAGAAGATGATGCAATTGTGTGGAGATCCTGACATGGATTTGGGAAATTTCCGTTATCACGTTCTTCACAATTTCGTTTGAGATACCTTTTTTTAAAAAATTATTAAATTAAGTAAATATAATTAGGTAGGCCTTATTTTCAAATTATTAGTTGCACTATCGCTAGCAGACAACCAAATAGAAATTTGTTGGCTCTTAAACCATGTTCAGTTCTTGGAATTCGATTTGATATTGACGTCGTTTCTCAGGTTTTTCCGAGAGCTAGTTCGATATTTTAAAAGAAACATGGTCATTTCCAAGAGTATTTTACGACCACAATTGAAAAACTACAAAAATTTTTGCTATTGTTGTTGTGATTCGTGGTTTTATTTCTATAAAGCTAAGAGCAGTCTCATGCCATGATTGAAAAACTACACAACTTTTTGATAGAGTATCATAATTTCCGTAGAGAACTCTCAGTATAATGAAGTATCAAAGAATATACAAAACCACTATAAATATAGGGAAAAGATGAGATTAGCCCACTAGCTCGTATGAACATATGAGCCCAATAGCCCAGATTGAATATGGGCCGATTTGACGATTAAGGATGTCCGGTAATGCTTGAATTTTTTTTTTTTTTTTATTAAATTTAAATCATTTAAAATTTTTGTTGTATATTTTTTTCATCAAGGTGCACCTAATAAAAATACAAAAAAAACTATCTGTAAAATTAAAAATGACCAAAATACCCCTTTAATTTTTCCAGGGGTATTTTGATCAATTTATTTCATGTAAAATATTTTTTTGATATTTTTTTAATGTTCATCTATTTTTGAGTGATTTGGATTTGTAGAAAAAAAAACTAAAATTCAAACACTACCAGACATCCGTGATCATCAAATCAACCCAGATTCAATCTGGGCCGTTGAGCTCATATGTTCATATGAGCTAGTGGGTTAATCCCATCTTTTCCCATACATATATATCTTGTAATGGCTATGGAACATTATTCTTCTTGATTGAAAAGTCATATATCCACCCATCTATGTGGAAAAGGAAGAAAGAAAAAAAAAAAAAAATGAATTTTATCGTCATAAATTCATTTATATCTTCTATTTCGAAAGAAAAAAAAAGGGCCTCTGTTGAATTTCAAGTATTTTGTTTCACCAATAACATATGGAAACTTACTTTACATTTGGAACTGCACAAAAAGGACTTTTTATCCCAAAGAGGTATGTGCAAAATTCTGGGGAAATGTCAACGAATGTTGCCTTATTTGTCAACAATAAATAAAGTACGTTATAAAAAATTAATAATGCGTATCAAGGATACCTAATCTGATCATAATCAAAAGATACATATCCATATAAAGACACTTAATCTTATCATCATCAAGAGAAATATATCCATACAAAGACACCTAATCTTATCATAATCAATAGAGACATATCCATCCTTGCCATTTTTTTTGCTATAAATATGTACTAATGTTGTACTAGTCATGAGTCGTGGCATGTCCACATAGGAGATGTGGTCCTGGGAGTCATCATGGTCCGGTAGATGGGTGGTGGTGGACAGAGAGTAGGACTAGCATATGTGCAATGCATAATCTGATATGTTCTCTCTCCATCACCATCCAACCCATTGAACAAATGGTGAAGAAGTCTCAAGAATCCATCCCATGTACTCATGAGGATCATATGCATTTTCCCTTCTTTAAAGACGTGAGCTTTTTTTTCGAGTAAATAAGTGGGGGAGATTGAAAGAATTACATCATATTATTTTACAACCCTATAATTGGGTAATTGCACCACATCATAAAGTAAAGAAAGATGAAGGAAATATGGGCACCTAGAGCGCCAAATGGTGACTTTTCAAAAAACTGTGGTCGTTTTAGTAAGCACATGTGGTCCACTATTTATAGTATAAAAATAGGATTATGGTTTATTAGGGTTTTTCGTTGCTTGTCTCTTCTTGTCAGATTGAATATGCATCATTGATCTTGGGTGACTTGTGGGGTAAGAGATTTGAGCCTTCCATTCTATAAATGGATCATATCATATGGAAGGTGCTAGAACATTTATCCCCCATTTCTTAAACTATTTTCCCATCAATAGAAATTAAATAAATTAATTCAATCATAATATTGTGCTTATCAAAATTAGAAATAATTTATAATTAAAAAAAATGTAAAAATAATTTTAAAATAATTCAATTTTTTTTTTAAAATAAGTATTTATGGCAAAAACACCTTGTAATATTTGCCAAAATGATAAAAAAAAAAAAAAAAAGTCATATTATCCCTTATTTTAACTTCTATATCTCATCAGACCCAAGAATTGAAAATATTACTTGTAAGCAAAATGACTCCATCTTTTTTATCTTTCAATCCCCTAAACCCTTTTGACCATATATTATTGACCTCGACTCTATATCTATCTCTCTCTCAAAACTCCATCACTCTCTAAAACCCAAACTCCATCTCTCTCTCTCAAAACTTCATCTCTCTCCCTAAAACTCCAACTCCATCTTTCTTTCTCTCCAAAACTCCATCTCTTTCTAAACCCAAATTCCATCTCTCTCATACATATAAGAAGGTGTGCTTGTGTTTAAGCTCAAGCTAAACTCACCGAGAAGCGAAGAGTGAGAGATTGAGTTTGAATAGGATGTCATTT